AGGACTCTAGTGTTTGCACATACCCCCGTAGCCTTGCCAGTCTCGTCTATATTCTACATATCCTTAGTGCGTATACCTAGTCGTACGCGAGTCCTCTTAAAGAGCTCAAGAAACGCGCGTATCTGTTCCTACGTTGCGCCCTTAGCCCGCGAGCCCTCTATCTTTCTACTAACAATAGATACGACGCGTAGGTTACGCTTAAGAAAGAAGGATATCTAACGCTTGCCTACAGGATTGTTGTCACTATTTATCCTTAGGATTTAATTCGCTATTTCTCGCGCGCGCGCGTAGGATAGAGGAAACGCGCGTGCGTCCTCTTTAAGGATCTATTGTACAAGAAATTCTTCTTGTTGTAGAGTTAATCGCTGCTAGTATTCGTAGCTAGATTAACGTGTCTGTGTACCACGTAGTTAGGCCGCAAGCGTGCTTTAAGGGATCTTGTACGCCTTTGCAGTAGCTCGTGAACTAGTAAAAACACTAGAAACAACGTCGCTAATAGCTAATTAAATTGCTGCTTCACAGGGATCTATTTTGGTTGCGTAGTTATAGAGAAATCACGAGCGTAGAGTAGGTAGCTAAGTTCTAGACGGGTGGCCAGCTTTAGTAGGTAGCCAGCTTCGGTAGCCGCTAGCTTACCTGTAGTTCTCTTCTCTATCAAATACAACTCTAGTATACCTGTGCGATAGCTCCCTAAGCGTAGCCCCTTACATTTTGTATTCGATCCCAATTAACAGAGCCTTACTTTAAGACTCTGTTAACGCGACGCGCGTTAAGCTTCTTAACTGCCTCTTCTGTTACGTGCGAGTAGGTTAATCCGCCGCACGGGATTAGTGTTGTACAAAGGCATAAAAGGCCTTCAAACAACAACTAGGCATAAGCTATTGCAAGTGTCAGATTAAATGCTAAAAATAAGCTTAGGAGAAGTTTATGATTGCGATGATGGATTATGTCTTGATCATTGTTCTTTTTCGTTAGTTTGTTCTCTCTCCTTTTTAAACATAAACCTAATATATTAGTAATACCTAGGTAATACATAGGTGATACCGTCTATAATGCAGTATCGCTTACTTTATCTAACACACCCCCTTAGCTTAGAAACTATTCTAAGCTGGACAGGAGCTGCTTCTGTTGTCTTCTAACGAACCTAGAGGTTGTGTGCAAGAAGCTTCGATCACAGTCTAGCTACGCCTGTTTAACCTCTAGCTTCTTAATTTAGCTTTAGATCTCTTTAAGGCGTGTTACTGTTATTTCTCCGCTTTTTATGCGCTCTGTAAGACCTATTTAGCCTAGGAACTGTGCCTATTTGTTAGCTAGCAGCGCCTTTGTAAAACTATTAGCTAGCATGTTGTCTGATTAGACATATACAACCCGAATACTTCTTCTTAACACCTCCTGTCTTAGCTAATAATTGTGAATGTCTACATGCTAGAGCTTAGTTTGCAACCGTAAGACCTCTTTATTGATTAGCTGGATAGTTTAAGTGTTATCGCATTATATCGTAATTGTTTCCTTAGGCAGATTAATTTGCAGTTCCTTAACTAGTCGTAATATGAATATAGCTTCTTTTGCAACTTGTAATAGCGTAAGAAGCTCAGCTTCTGTCGTAGAGGTTGTGACTGTATCTTGCTTGCTTGCTTTCCAAGCAATCAAGCTACCAAATAACTTGATTGTATATCCCTGCGAGCTCTTTCTGTCCAGTGTGTTATCGGCAAAAGAGGCGTCGCTCGCGACTTCAAGTCGACTATCCCCGCCGAGCTCGAGCGCTCGATTTCTAGTGCTCTGCAGGTAGAGGAGAACTCGATCGGCTGCATCATAATGCTCCTGTCCCGGATTCATCAGAAAGCGTGCTAGTCGTGATGTCGCGAATGCGATATCTAGACGAGTCGTCACAGCTGCAAACATTAGGGATCCAATCTTTCGCTAGTACTTGTTAATTTCTAACGGAGTAGCTAGGCCTTCCTAAGGCTTAAGTTCAATAGCCGCCATTAGAGTGTCGTGTCTAATGTCCTTTCTGTCGACTAAGCGACCAATCTTATCCGCGTACGCAGCTTGTAAGAGCTGAATCTTACGCTGCTCTTAGTTTCTGATAACTTCAACTCCAAGAAACCATTAAAGATCATCTCCGCTAGTTATTAAGTACTTGTCTCTAAGACGTTGAACAGCTTGTTGAACCTCCGTCTCCATTTGCTTGCTATAGGCAAGAATAATGTCGTCGACATAGAAGAATATAATAATTCTATCCTTAATCAGACAGCATAGCTCGTGGGGAACGACTTGAAAGTTCAGGGTCTTAAGAGTCGATGTGAATTCCTTCTGCCAGAGGACTAGTAATATTCAGAGCCCATACAAGGCCTTGTTAACTTGCAGCACTGTCCTAGGCTTCCGATAGCCATGTGGCATTCTCATGTAGATCTCTCGGTCTATTGCTGCATAAACGAAAGCGTTCGTGACGTCGTACTGTCTAAGCTCAAGATCGAAATGAGCAGCGATCGCCATTAGCATTCGAAACGACCGGCTCGCGAGAGTAGCTGCATAGGTTTCCTAAGAAGTAATATTTCTCTGTTAGTCTCCTCGGACGACTAATCGCGCCTTACAGCTCTTAAAGCGATAGTCCTTGTCGAGCTTGTAGGTGTACACCTACATGCAGTCTAAGATCTGTTAACCCTTTACTTTTACTTTCTTTGCGGGCACTTTAGACTATAATTTTATCTGCTTATAACTCTTAAGATGCACTCTCTAGGCTTCCTTCTAGTAGTCCCTAAGCGGATGTCCTTCTACCTGCCTCTAGGTTAACAGTAGCGGTAGAAGTTAGTTAAGATAAGGCCTTAGTCCTTGTGCTAGCATTTGTTTTATTTGAGCTTTATCTACTAGCCTGCCTTCGTATGTTCTGATGTACCTAGCCTGTGTCCTAGCTATAAATGCGGCCTTCTATAGGACGGTCTTTGATAAGGCATCTAAGTCCTTAGTGTCTTCCTTATAAACGCCTGCTAGCAAATGCGCAAGCAGAGCTACCGGCGGTGGAGTCACTAGTGGCGTAGGATAGCTGTGCCCTATCTTCCTTCCTTAGTAGTCTCCTAGGCTATTATATTCTTAGGTTAGCTTAGTATCCTGTGTTGTATCGTCTTTAAAGAAAGCTTTAGTCTCTAGTTAATCGTAGGTAAGCTCTAGAAGCTTAGCAGATCTTACCTATACAGCTATCTTATTTAAGGTGCTGTGCATAAGGTTGTCTATAATGTCTTCCTTCTTCCTGTTAAACACTGTTTCTTTATTAAAAACTACGTCTTAAGTGCTAATTACCTTACCTATAGTTAGAATCTAGACTCTGTAGATATTAGACGACTGATATCTAACTAGGTATCTAATCTAAGCTCGCGGATCAAGACGTTAGAGTCGTAATCTGCCTCGAAGGGTGTTATTAGTTAAGGCAAAGGCCTTACAGCTATATGCTTTTAGGTGTGCTAGGCTCGGCTTTCGAGGTGTTGTTACGATGCCGTTTTGGAGAGCTGTAAATGTGAAGAAGACTTCGTATAGTGATTTCTAATGATTTGAGTAGTTCGGCGTTCGATTGTATAGATACACCGCTGCCTGTGTAATCTCTAGCTACAGCTACTACGGCAAGTTTGCGTCTAGCCTTATCGCGCGAGATTTATCCTTAACTATACCCCCTAAGCGTTTAGCACTACTGTTCTGTGCTTAGGTATCTAGAGCTAAAGGCTCGAGTCGTATAGCTTGCGCGGTACACTATTATGCTACCTCTAGTTTTGTAGTTGTAATCTCACTATCGCATTTAATTACTTTAACAGCAATGTTGTACTGCTTCTTTAGGAACTAGACAATAATATCTAGGAGCCTAATAATTGACTTCCTAGGTTAATTGTCCTTAAAGTAAAAGTCCTATAGGATACTAGAGTATTAATTAGTAACGAGCATTTAACTCTTCTCCTTTGTCGAGCTTCCCTCCTTATACTCTATAAATCAATAAGACGGCAAATTGGCTGCCGTTTCTGGCAGACGCTGAAGCAGGATTCGGATGCTGACATGCCGCCAAACCTCTCTATTGTACTCGGTGGCTTAGCGGCCCACGCGCTTCTCCGGATGACTACATTAATACTAGCGCAGCCACTAGCGTTTTATCTGAAGCACAACCTTGTCCTTACACACTGGTCGTAAGCTTGCAATCTTCCCATTCCCTATTGGTATGTAAGGGTAATCCCTGTATCATTATGCCGAGCTTGTCCAGGTACACGATCATCTCTTGGGAGCAACAGTAACTCGATTGCGTACTTAAGACTCGCCGTGGCCACGAATCTAGGCTACAAAAGCGACTTGCATAATCAACGAACTGTTTCCTTATCCACAAGTCCGTTATTACATCAACTTTACTCCCCTGTGAGGCGCTGCTTTCTCTCACCACAGACAAGCGGGCTGGTAAATAGTTGTAATGGATTGCAGTCGCACGAAGACGCTGTCGAGGTCCATCTCAACTTCAGACAACAACTCAGAATATCAGACTGATGCCACAAGTACCGAGAGTGACGGTGGAAACGAGTCCCAATCACAGCCAGGTGTGCTCAGCAATGATGGGATGTCTGAGGACGAATCTGTCCGTCCGCCAGAGTTTTATCGAGAGCATGCAAGCCGGGTCAACAACACAGAGATCCCCCAATTCTATGCGGACAGCACAATCCGGCAACTGAATAGTGTTGAGTTGCAATGGCGGCGGTAAGTCTCCTTCCCCACCCTTATGCCTCTCGGTTACTACGCAGTCCTAAAGCGTGCGATGCTGAATATTGCACAGATTTTGTAAAGTTATTCGAAAGCACCCGGTAAAGTTGATGGAGTCAATCTCACGTGGTGATATTTCAAGCTTTTTCGCGTGGAAGCTAGATCAAACGCGCGGAACAGATAAACGAAGACTCCGTGGAACCAAAAGTGCGTCTTCTCTTGATACGTACCGGAAGCTATTCCTTAGAGTGTACAGAAAGTTGGTAGGGAAGGACATGGATAGTGAGATGTCAAGGGGCACGCTTTCGGTCAGTCAAATTCTCGTTCTGTTTAACTAGGAACACTCCAGAAGAGCTAATATGATTGCAAGGTGACAAAGAAGTTGATCCAGGACTACGATTTGAGCCACACACCGAGAGAGAAACCTCCCATGGACGCACACGACGTGCTTGAGATCATACAAACAACACTCACGACCGTCGAGAAGATGTTCCAGGTAGGAAGGTACCGCATACAGACATGCTTCTTCCTTCAAGGGGGGTTCATCACCGCAAACCGACCAGACGCTCTCCTCAAGTTGCGCTATCGAGATATTAAGGTCAGCATAGATCGAGATCCAAACGGCGGTCCACACAACATCGTGTTAGAATGGACATACGAATTCACCAAATCGTTCCTAGGGCCCAAAGCAGCGTACGTATATCAGCTTCTAATCAGCTTTAGTGAGCATACAGAGCGCGCTAACTTAACAGGAACACATTCATTATCCCGGAAATTATCTTCGATCCCTCTTTAATCCTGAGTCCTCATGTTTTCTTGCTTGGCTTGATGTTTGCTGACAAAGTCTTCTCGATCAGTGAGCTGACTCCGGAGAACCTATTTACGCTTGACATTCCACCCGGGTGCTACTCACTCGAGGTGCCTATCAGAGAAGAAGTAGCTGACCTCTGCGTCTTTCGTCGATACAAGCAAACAGCAACAGAACGCACAATAAGTAGCGAACGACTGCCGTACCATACTCTCAAAAAGCACATGCAGGATGTCGGTGAAATCACAGGGTTCAAAGACGTGGCGAGACCGTACTGTCTCCGATATGGAGCAGCCAATGCTTTCGATAAGGACGGTACGTAACAAGCAAAAGCAAAAGTCGCGAGCAGAAAAGGACTGACCTCACTCTGATTATAGGCAACACTAGCGTCGACTTGCGAAATATGATCATGAAGCACGCCAATACAGATGTGTTTCTGAATCATTACCTATCCACACGAATTACCACAGATGCACAAGCCGTTGTACGAGGCTTAGCGCCTCAAAAAGAGCTTATACAGGCGGCATGCAGAATGAGCCGAAAGATCGACCCGAGGCGACCTCGTTTTCTTACGGAGGAGCAAAAACGGTCTGTTCTAGAACACCCGCGAATCAAACAACTGCTTCTACAGCAGAAAAGATTGATGAAGCATTCACCAGACTACAAGGAGGTCCAGAAGAAGATCCGTAACGAAAAGCAGCACTTGATGTACGATCTCAGGAAAAAAATCAGGAACGGATACGACAAAGCGCAAGCAGAGAAAGACATACAGCTACAACTCTCTGGTGGAATGTTCACGGAAAAGATCAAGACCGATTTAAGGCGGTCTTCTCAACACACGGAGAAACATATGAAGTTGATTGAGGCAATGTTGTCGTTGCCTGGGCCGTCTCGTCCGGAAGAGAATGAAAGACGAAGTAAAGCCATCAGGGCAATTATAGATTACTGCGGGGTTGAGGAAGGCGGAACGCCGAGAAACCATAGAGTAGGCCCGTGTGCCAACTATGGGCTGCGAGAGGCTGTTAAAGATGATGAAGAGACTCTCGAAGAGGCGAAGATAGAGGTTTTCACAGAAAAAAGACCAAGGAGATGCTTTATATGTTTGGGTAATAAAGCTCTCCCAGTAAAAGAGCGGGCGAGGGAATTTTCGGCGCCAGGCACACTTAACAGACATTTCAAAGATCATCTGAGGCGTTTTAACAACAAAACAGGCGAGATGTGTAATCTATGTAAGTTGCACCTGGAAAATGAAGAGCACATGAAGCGCCATGCTTTTGATAAGCATGGCACTGTTGTAAGGATCTAGCCCTTACTGGGTGCTTATGCCAAGCAATCCCTAGGTACATAAATCTATACTCTGCTACCGTGGCCCGGCAACGGTTCGTCTCTAGTCTATTATGGAGCAATATACTCGTACCTCTACTATTGTTGTGCATCTAGTAAGAAAAGAAACGGGAAACTCTAGATCCGACCTGCCACATCTTGGAAGCACAGTAGCAAGTGCTACTTTGCCAGTATTGACAGGAACGGGTTAGAAGAGGCGTGAGGCTTTTTATATAGTTGAAACAGGCATACAGGATTTCGCCACGAAACGTATCCTGAGCATGTTTTGCAGGTACAGCACTCTTCTGAGTTTGATTTAGTTTAGATTCGAGTACAATGAGCTCTGTCACTACCTCAATTCCCACAAAGACTCAATTAAGATCCATGATTGTGTCAATCCACCTTCTGAACTACCGTGTTTGCGCAACCAGGTGCCCAAACTCGTTTTTCGGACATTGTCTGTGAATCCATGCATCGGGTGCATGGATACGGCATAGTAACGGACTTGACAACCTCGAGATTGGCGTGCTTTGTTGCCCCATACGCTGTGACTCTGAAAAGTATTGCTCTGGTGTCTAGCGAACACGAACGAGGAAATGTACAAGAATCGGCAACAAGGGACCTAATGATGCGAGAAAGAAAGGATGGGGTCCGAAATTTCTTGTTTGCATTCTGTCACGGATCGGATTGGCACCACT